CTATCATAGCCTAACCAACCTAATGTAATCTAACTTAACATTATAAAAACTTAAGCTAACCTAACCTAATCTTATCTAACCTAACCTAATGTAATCTAAATTAACATTACAAATTCTAATGCTAACCTAATCTAACCTAACGCTAACCTAACATTTAAGAAAGAAATGTTATACTAATTCACTGACACAACACTTTAAACGGTATGGGTGTGTGAAGGAAGAGGGAGGGAGGGAGGGGGTGAAGGAGGGAATGAAGGAAGGAAAGAGGCAGGGAGGGAAGGAGAAGTGTCTACATGGGAATAATCTAGTAGGAGGAGAATGTCAGCAGCCACTCCTTTCCCAAAACCTTCCTAGACCTGACCACTTAACACAAGGATGGAGGTGAGTTGACTGTGATGGTTCAAGAGAATTTTAATCTACCTTGAACTTTATCATAAATCCATCCACTTCTGCTGACAACATGTCACAACCGTTCTTCACCTTGGTATAAAACTCTCTAACCCATCCTCTCCTGTGTCCCTTCCCTGGTTCAACCTTTCCTGCCAAACTAACAACACATTCATTACTGCTCGGAAACATGCTGAGCACATCGTCTCTACAAGGGAAAGAAAATACTAGATACTGTCTGAAACATAAAACCCTTCATTCTCACCACACTCTGGTTATTAGCAAAGTCAAAATTTTTACAACAGCTTCTCGAATTCTACCACACACACACACACACACACACACACACACACACACACACACACACACACACACACACACACACACCTCTCCGCCCTGATCACCACACAGCCCAAGATAAAGGTCTTCTGGCTTCTTTGTTTGCCCGAAATTCAACACATGATCCTTGTTAACAACCTCCCCCGGTGCCTGTTCCAAATCCACCCCCATTCCTTGCAAACACCTAAATTTTATATTGTACCAGCCTAGTTTTTTGTTCTTTGTAACCCACGGGCGTCCGCAGGATTTTTTCTGGGAGAGCTGTAATACTACCACTATATGAGGTCCAGAACTTTTTTTTTCATTTGCACAATTAAATGACATACCTTCAAGGGCGTGGCCAAGGTCTGGTAAAAGGATGGGGGCGCCCCGTGACTAGAACAGCAGCGAGGTTCCCCACACACGTCTAATGCCAACCCTTATCCCCTCCCTCACTCTCCGCCTATCGAATTTCTCATCTGGTCTGACAGTATCTGTTAACTACTGTACTTCCAGGGAATTACTAGGGCGAATCCAGGAATTTCCCAAGGGGAGTATACTAATATTAAAAGGGCACATTAAGTTGGGTAGAAACAGCAACTTCGTTTACATGTACTGACACAACTGTAATGGGTTTCTATTGTACAAACTTGATAACCTGCAGAATGAATATTAGAATTATTATTGTTACTACTGTTTATGTGTGACAGGAATATTGATTAGAGGTGATCACGGCCTCAGTGTATGATATCCGCCTTATTTCACCTCGAGTCAATATTCCCGTCAAACATAAACAATAGTAACAATAATAATTATAATATTCATGTGATAACCAAGAGCAGATCAAGAGAACTAAGACGGGGTGAACACGAGTCTATCCTATTACTACACAACTTTGAGACCCCACGATCTTTGTATAGAAATATTCCCAAAGCCAAATTCTATGTTCTGTTTATTTTAGATATGTAAAGTAAGCACCGCAAACATTCTCCAAAATTTGTAATTGAAGCAGCCGACAAATGGCACAGTTGAGTTCAGTTTTAGCCATCATCTTCACTCATCACGATACATCATAAACTATAAACGTTTTTAAAGAACAATTAAAGAATAATGAAACGCCCTGTAATGTCAAATGCTAAAACATCAATGAGCACAAATCAACATAGTGCCTTGTTCTTATCTAAAAGCAACTGTTTATATTACTAATCATGAGCACAACAATATTCTCTTAGTATAATAATAATCCAAACACAAGCATACCAATTACCAATGCTGTACAGCCATACATTAAATACTGTAATATGGAAAATGACCAAGTCAACTAGTGATATTCAAACCTCAATCTGCCACGCTGCTTGTGACCGCCTCCACCACCCCACAGTTTGCCGAGTGCCCCGAGAACTGTTTCACCAGAGAAAAGGCTGGACTTTTACCGTATTGTACTTTAAATATGAAGTTTATCATTAAGATAGGCACATATACAGTAGATACAGCAACATTCATCCAGTCCCGTTTTATCTTCTCCTTCCGACTTCAAACATCTAAAAAATTGGGGATCTGGCAACACACAATGTATAGAACCCACTCTGGCAATAAAGTTCTGGCCCTGACACATATTTAAAATAAAAAATAACTAAATTTATGGCAAAATAAATCCCATATTATGATACGAATTTTGTAAAACAATGTCACTTTGGTGGTTATGCAAAAATCTGACGTCAATCGCTTATATGCATCTCGGAACTAGAAAACATTATGAAATTTATGCATGGTCACAGAAGTGCTGTCATGCCACTACTAAGATATAACACACTTCCAAGTAAATACTTCGTCCACCACAGTAGTCAGTGTCTCACTAACTACATAAAGCCATTTTGGAAAAGGGCAACTTTTTTAATCTACAGTATGTCTATATATGATTAGTAGTGTAATTACTCGCTTAACCTAACCCAAACTTAACAGTGCTTACACTAGTTACATATAGTTAGGTTATTCATTATACTATACGACGTGTTAAAAGAAACAACCAATTTTACCATATAAGAACTAATTCCAATCAGTTCTAACAGTAAAAATAAACCTACCAACTCCCCTTCACTATCTCCATGTGAAATTTCTGTGATTCTACCTTAGTATCTGGGAAGATATTGGAAGCATAATGTGTTGTCTAATGGTAGACCCTGCTGCCATATGGCATCACAAAAATTGTGACCAAGTCCCAGGTTGCTGATCTGACTTTCTGCCTCATTTACACACAATTGCAGGGTCTCAATTGTTTCTCTTACTATGACAACACAACACATATATCGTTTCTTACTATTGATCTTTTTTTGTGTTTATGCTTTTGTTATTATTTTATTTTAATTATTTTTAATTTCATTATTATTATTATTATTATTATTATTATTATTATTATTATATTTGTGCCCTCAGGCCCTAATGTGGGTCATTGACCCGTGAACGTAAAAAAATAAAAATACAATTTTACTCGGAAATAGCCCAGTGAGGTAGTAAAGTACAAGTCTATTTTCTTTCACCGTAAATCCTGCATTTGTTAATGTTAATTGTGGGAGATGAGTTATTTTATTTGTTAACTTCTTATCAATAAGGATCAGGGGTCGAAAATATGAAGAAAAATTGAAGTTCCATGGATTTCTAAACAGTCGCGAAACTGCCGTACAGTTGCCCGTGTTTTGTTCCAATATCCTAGAAACGTGACGTACAGTACGGTTATGAGGTGCTGTATGTTGTTTTAAAATAGTCACTTTTCAACAGGTTGAAGATCTCTTTACATTTTTTATCAAGTTATAACAACAGTTTGTATATTATCCCTTTTATTACATTCGAAACGTATCAAAATAATGCTCTTGTCTAATCTACATGACTTTCGGAACACCTGATACTCGAGCGATCTTAATTTGTTGTAACTTGATTGTAGGGGTCAGGCCACGAGTATATTTGGGAATGGTTTAAGTACCTTACAAAACTTACAAAAAAAATAAAGTAAGCCATTACACTGTACACGCGTCATTATAATTGGTGGAACATAAGGAAACGAGTTCAGTTACTGTATAAATAATGCTAAGGTTACGGGTACTCACCAAACTGGGTGTGATGCTGTTGTCATGGATGTGATGCAGTGGTTCTTACACTTACTAGCCGAGAGACAGGTATGAGGGTTTACCAGGTAGTTATTCTTGCACGATAATGTTCACTTACCACTACACGCATGCTCTATGGGATACTAACAATACGTTAATATTACTGTACGAGAATAAATTAACCATCAATTACATTAGGCTATCCACTAATGTATGAAATAAATCGTGTTGGCAGAAATCACTAAGTACAGCTGTTTTAATGCGGTCCTGCACCTACTTCACTATTATCAGTCCGAGCAGACAACACCTCGGATACCTTACACTTCCTAGGGGCACTGCCGCCCCTAGGAACTTAAGCAGTTGTCGATGAAGGTGTAGTGCTACGATGACAGAACTCGTGAACTCGTGACATTCAAGTCTTCACCAAACAAATATATGTGTTTTCAATCGTCAGCAGCACAGGACTGTTAGCAGTATAATCTTTAGACATTATTTTCTATGATTCTTGATAATATCCAGCATATTAAGAGACTAATAACGCCGAAAACTAAGCTAAATTAACTCCCATTTCACTCGTCACTTGTAGTAAACAAAATACTCCGACTACTGGACACTGGCTCCTGCCACTCCGTGACGTGTTCACAGGTTGCCAGCTCGCACGACCACTCTCCGTTTACATCAGTAATTTGATCTTTTATTTTTTTTCTTTTTGACAGATGAACACTATTACTTGATTTCTGAAGTTATGATGAAGGGTTAGTGTAGCTGGAGGGAATCCTATCCTCTACTCCGAACGGTCAAGAAAGACTCCCGTAACCATTTGTTTGCCAGCCGAACGCTACTCAACCAAAACATTGAGATCAAGAGTGGTCGGTAAGCGTTGGACCTGGTGGCCATCAAGACTATCCTACAACCTGGTATTACTTCTTCAAAACAACACAGAAACTTATTTCTTAAAAAAAAAAAAAAAAAAACGTACCTGGATAGAGAGGCTACCGGTGCCTGTCTTCTGTTGACCTGCGGCCGGCGTAGATTAAATAACTATGCACCCTTCCACTCTCTCACTGAGAGAGTAATATGTTATATATTATAATAGTTAGAGATGTTCAGATGGATTTAATGTGCGGATACAAGAGAGGCACCTCTCTCTCTCTCTCTCTCTCTGAAAACTAACATATTTTCTTACCATTACAGTTGAAAGGCGGGCTGATAATGCAGATGTCGCTACAAGTGAAGTATTACAAGTATGGTGACTCCCAACACTGTGATTGGGGCTCCACCTTCCACTGTGTAGAGTACGACTGTGAAACACACGCAGACGCGGGTATTGTCGCCGTCCTCAAGGAGACCTTCCGGTAGACTAACCACGCCCAGGAACTGATGGTGGTGGTTGTGGTGGCGTAAGTAGTGGTGTTTCAGGTAGTAGAGGTTAGTGTGGTGATAATAGTCCTGATAGTGGATTGTGATTGAATAGGTGATGGCGGTAGTTCGAGTGGTTGTTTTTATTATGGTGATGGTGGTATTCTAGTAACAGGCTGAAATTATGCAGATGGTGGTTATTTTGATGGTGTTACAGATAAATGTGGTGATAGAGGTGACGGCCGTTTATGAAGATGGTGGTGGTAATGGTGGTGGTAGTAATGGTGGTGGTAGTAATGGTTGTGGTGGTGGTAGTAGTGGTAATGACAATACAGGTGCCAGTGTTTTCCAGCTCGTAAACAAAATTGTCGTTTGGTCTGTTGTGATCCACTAAATTTCGATTAAAATTCAAACTTCATGTACAACAACAACAAATGTGTACAGTACTACTAAAGGCCCGACTGGAACTCTTCACAGACACACATCTTGTGACTGTAAAACTGCCCTGGTGAGCTGTAAACACTGTGGTGAAGCGAGGAAGGGGTTAAGATATCACAAGAATCAGATAAACGGATAACACACCAGGAAGGAGGGAAGAGGATGTTGTCAGGTGAGGTTCACGATGGTTCAGGAAAGATGTTCATGCCTTATAAATCTTGTTCTTTTTGTGCTTGGGTTTAAGGGTTTGATTAAGCAGCTACTCGGCCTTGATCACCTGCCCTCTGCCCCTCTACACACACAGGAGTCAACAATTAACAAATCAGGTTTACTGGTCACTAGTTATGCTTTCTGTCGTGTTCAAATTTTTCTACGTTAAAATTTGTATTGCAATTATAAATATCTCACGGTATGACTGTTGAGTGTAAATACACAATGCGTAGTAATTTTAATCAAAATATTCACAATCTTCCGCCCATAACAGATTCAGAGTGATGAGACGTGTTTTGAACATTTTTCACAGCTGTTATCAGTGATGTCCTTGGTGAAACTCTACTATTTGTCCCATAATCTACTTAATTACTTCTATATCCGCATTTTCCTAGTGTCAAGTAAAGGTAGAGGCTTCCACAGGTTCAGGCTTTGCTACTCTACGAGGTTTTAAACAACGAGATTTGCTGGATGGTGATGAAGGACCGCCAGGGAGCAACACACATGTCTCCCCATGATGTAACACGGGGAGAATGGTTCAGCCAATCACAACCCTCCTTATTAATGACGTCATCATTTGCCGGGGACCATAATACCCAATCATTCCCCTTGTTGCAACCTGGGGAAAATGTCTCAACCAATCGTAACGCTCTAGGTCATTGTTTGTCGACCCATCATTAAATACCTACGGCAAGCTACGTGCGTAAGATAACGTTACAGTGTAAACTAGGTCTGGTTGCGTCAGCTTTAGTTAGTAACAACTGAATAACGTAATCAAAAGATTAACAATAATATACATCATATCTGTGTAAGTCTGTAAGTCTTGCTTTCGCTAAGGTAAGAAAGATGCTAACAAAACTTATGTTATGTCTACTGAGCAAAGTTAGCTTAAAATAGCATGTTCATCTCCCTTATAATTATGTCGTCAGATGAGGAAAGTTTGAGGTAGATAACAAATTAACTTATAGATTAAGTTTAAGTACAGGCTAATTTAACTTGGATTTTTGTCAGCTGAGTGAAGTTTGGTTACGATAACAAGATAACTTACATATTATGTTGAATTATAAGAGTTAGGCGAAGATAATAAGCTAACTTATAAATTAACTTAAGTAGATGACTGAGACAAGTGTAGGTGACCATAACTGTGACGGGTTTCATCCAGTGGCAGGGATGGCGTCCTCCAGTTTTAAAAAAAGAGACTTGTGTTATACTACTGTAGCAAACCCAGACTGATAACAACAATTTGCTGTGTTAACTGTTCAATCTTATGTTGACTGTGAGGTGCTGTAGTGTAGTGGTGAGATTCACCTCGTCAATAAAAGTTCCCGAATTTCACAGACTCATACGGTACGATATTTTCCCCTTAACTTTGGATGGAAGGTACGATATTTTTTCCTTAACTTTGGATGGAAGGTACGATATTTTTCCCTTAACTTGGATGGAAGGTACGATATTTTTCCCTTAACTTTGATGGAAAGTACGATATTCCTCCCTTAACTTTGGATGGAAGGTACGATATTTTTCCCTTAACTTTGGATGGAAGGTACGATATTTTTCCCTTAACTTTGGATGGAAGAGCTAGTTACAGAAGTCTCAGTACACTTTAGTAGCCATTTTGCCCACTATCTTGCTTACAACAGCTAATTAAATAGAGGTCCTCTTAGAACACTCGATGGCATGGCTGAATAAAGTTAATAATTTTGGCGAAACAGAACTTTGGGCAACCCAGTCATGTTTGCGGTAGACTATCAAGAAGATCTTAACTACTGGTTGTGTTATTTTACCGTCATATGAGTCACCCATGTTCGCCGCTTTGTTAATAAACACACACGATATTTTGTTAAGACGTTCCCCATGCTCCCCCCCCCCCACCTTACCCTTCTTTTTAGTAACTTTTGGCCACATATAATAAAAAAGTACAATATCAGAGATTTTTTTCAGCATTGACAGACACCAAAAATAACATCTTACTTTCACAAACCAATTCACATATCACTTACGATACGTAAATACTCTTTGATATGATAATTATAATCTACACCCACCACCACCACCACTGTATACAGTTTTAATCAGTTTCATCGGATAATTTATTCCTACTACACGTTATTTCACCTTTATTTACACACCCAACACCAGCTGTTATTCCGTCAGTTCCAAAATGTTTATTCATAAAAATGTGTTCTTCAGTAGACAGGAGTTATAGTGTAATAGTGTAAAAATTCAGTCTCATTTGTTAATGTGTTTCCGCACGTTTAAGAATCTTAACGGTCACTGCGATAGTTATTTCTTGTTTCTGCTAATTTGATTCTTAGTTTGTAAGTTTTTATTTCATTGGACTCTTGCTCTGAACTGTTAAAACTAAATTCATATCGAGTTTGAGTGTACTTAATGTTTATTCCATTAATTATTAGTTTGCTGAGTGCTATGACTGAACTTATTTAATGTACTGTATATAACAGGCTACTACAACTGTAATTCACTCCTTTATCATTAACTATTTTCAATACTTGTACTTTATTTCTCACGTTCATTAGGTTACACTGCTACACTCATTCCTGATTGGTCAATGTTATCTCAGCTCATGTCAGCAAGAGCGAAAGTATTTGTTGAGGTGTTTTCGTTGTTAATTTACACTAATATATATTTCAGACCTATAATCTCCTTTCCTAACTTATGTGTTTACAGTTAAATTATTGCAAGAGTGACGATATGTCCATGACGTATGCAAATGTTAGGACGCTGAATGGGGAATGTTGTGTTCTGTGGTGAGTTCTGCCTTGCTTGGTGGTCCCGCTTGTCTGTATGATAAATCTACTTTTTATTATATTAATCATATTATATATACTACAGTTTACTACCAATAAACGTCCGCCAATACCGCGCCTTGCACAAGCTAATAAACGTTTATAGTTGAGCCTCTGTAGTTAAAGCGTTTAAATCTGCAATAAGAGAAACACAACTTATATGCATTTAATCTTTTCTTAAACTCTGAACTAAGTTTATAAATGTTTGATACAAGAAGAAAACTTTCATTATTCTTCGTAACTACGCACCATTTTTATATCTAGCTTCGAGTACGACCACACATACAGTATATGCACATGGGAGCGATGATCCTCAAGAACACAATGCCTCTCTACCTGTGGTGATCCACCAGAGGCGAGTTTTCGAGGACACGCTTTTTGAAACACTAAAGTAATTTTCCCTGACACTCCCCTTTACTTAAGATCTCCCTCTACTTTTTATTAGCAGCATACAAAATACACGTGAGAAAATAGTAGACATTATCAAAGTATATTGAATCCTGTCGTAGTTATGTGCTTGTACCTAAACCCGTAATTTTTTAAAGGTTGCTTCTAAATAAATAAAACTGAAATCGAGTGAGACGTAACTATTGTGTTCTTCGTTAATTAATAAGCTTTTAAATTTGAAAGTGAAATGTGTGGCCAGGCAGGCGGGACTTTGAGCACTAAGAAAGCAATTACCAGGAAATATAAACAATTCATTACTCTCATACAAGCTTAATTTATTATCGTAGTAAAGGCTGACGCTCGCTAGGATATGCGTAGCTCCGGCTAGTAATGATATCAGGAGCCAGTATTAAGCGTCTATCTGCCTGCTTATGCGAGTATTAAGGTCAGGTAACCACGTTGTGTCATGAGGCTGCTACAGTATGTGCCGAGAAACTTATTGGACCGAAGGTTATGTTAGGGTATGTTAAGCTAGGTTAGACTTGGTTAGGTTAGGTTAGGATACGTTAGGTCTAGGCTAAACTTGGTTAGGTTTGGAAGGATTTAGACCAAAGATTGTCAGGGTAGAGGCGTAACCGCAACACATCGCCAGATATTGACACAACTTTCGCGGTAGCAGCAACACGACAACAGCGGCTACTGACCAAAGTACAATACTGTAGTCCAGACTTTAGCTGCGACTGTAGCTGCATCGGTGCGCCAGTGTTAATCTACTATATTCCGACCTGGAAGGAGAAATTACGGCATCATTTAATATCTGCTTGTAAGGAATAACATGCAGTCAAAGTGAAGAACAAGAAACTCCTCTTCATTCTGACGCTGACTGCTACCATTCACTCATTTATCATTTCTACACGCATAAATCTGCCATAGGAATGAATGCTTTAATATTAACATCATTCTGAAATAAAATCTATTGATGATCCACGAGTTCTAGATGTATCATTCTTCACGTGTCATTATGAAGTATCATGTATCAGCCACAAGCGGGTCTCGTGATATGTAAAAACACAATATGTGAGAGTTTTTCATTATTACTAAATGTTTACTTTCTGCTAAATAAACTTATAGTTATTATTAAGGTATTTTTATATCCTTACTGAAGGTGGGCGAGCTTTGGGTGTATTCCTGCGAAGTCACATTTTCAAATATAGTTGGTTTCACAACAGTTATCTGCACAGTATGTCCCACCCTGACACCCTGCAGCTTGTAATTAAAACCTCCAGAATTTTGTTTTTGTTTTATTTACGTGCTGGCTCTTCATAATTTAATGAGTTGTCCAGGTCAATAAAACGGGTTCGTCTCTCTTGTTGCTATCAGTGAAAGTTTTGACCGCCACACACTGAATTCATTAAACCATATCTGGGCATCACATTAAACAATCATAATCGCCTAAACATTAAAATAAAATAAAAATGGATGCCGTTAAAGCTGTAAAAGGTCCATCACTGATATCCTTTGGAAGGAGATTGGACAAGTGAGAAAAACATTAATCACAAATAAAACTGTGATGGGAATAATCCCGTGGATGCAAGTTGACACAGCAACTGGGTGGTGGTAAATACCTAAACTTGACGTCAGAAGCTCCTGCTCAAGTCTAATGCCAGTGTCAGATAAGCCACGATACTCTGGGTTCATGTGGCGCTATTTCGCCATTCAAGGGTAAGGTAACTTTAGTGTTCGTATTTTACCTCCTTATCAGAACACCGTCACCAATCATAATTTTGTCAAAATATCAGTTTGACACAGAAAAAATAGTTACATTGCTGGGAAAAGTTTGAAAGCGACGAAAAAAAACAACTTCATCTCAATTTTGAGAAAACCTAATTAACCTTATCATCATGCAAATGTCTAAATCTCTGAATTTCCGAGATCATGAATTTCGTGTTATCTCACTCACCATAATTTTTCTTCACGATATAACCAGCGCAGCCATTGGCAGGAGTGGAACGACCCGAGTTACCTATTTTTAATTCCTTATTGCAAGTATTGTTATTCCCATAAGGCAGCAAATAGAAGAAGAATCTGTGGCAACCGCTCATTTAATCCGTATGTGCAGCCACAACCTCAAGCATCTCATTTTATCTGTACTTGTCCGAAATTTTAATCCAGACCGAGAGGTTAATTTATGCATTGTCAGAGATCATGCTGTGCCTCTACCTGATGAGTTTCTGAAGGACACCGGAGACAGGTAATAATGAACGAGGTCACACCATTGAAGTTTTACCATTTTCAATATTGTAGATACAAAATTTCAGGGTTTTTGTTTAGTTCAGTGAAATTATAATTTAACAGAGGATATATTTTGCCTCCATTTCATAACAGTGGATGTTGATTGACTGAAGAAATAAGAAGATATATAATTTTTTACTTCCTGTTCATGCTCGTGTAAATTAGTCTGAAGAAATAAGGAAAACTTTCTCAATAAATATAAGCAGAGAATGGTGTTACAATATCGGAACTTTAACAACACGGACCTTAAGATAAAATTTCGTCTTTAGTTTTCAACCAGTTTCGATATCGTATCGTTCACAACTTTCATAAATGTAATCCCTGTTGAAATTAATCTAAAGGAATATCCTCAATTACCGAGGAGGTGTGCAAACAACTAACAAAATGTACACAAGTTGCACCGATAAATGCTAGACAATTGTTGACATAATGTTACATATATTTTTATTGGTATTACATTAGTTTGCAAGACTCGTAGTTTCTGAAAATCATTTTTTTTAACGATGAAACTTCTGCACGGCTGAGAAAACACCAAGTTTGATAACATATTTATTTGTCTTATCGCTACGATACAGTGTATGGAGGTTGAGTACATTTTTCATAAAAGAATCATGTTGGTATCCTTGCTGACAATACCCCCGACATAATGGGAAGGACCTGATGGTGGAGGGTACAGTTGGCTACACTCCTGACTTTACCACTTAGTATTGCCAATCCTTTCTCTCTCTGAGGTATGAACTCCTAACTCTGAAGTGCGAATTCGAGGCATTCGCTCGTGAGCAAGTGAGCAGGAGAGGATTGATTTTGATTTTGCCGCTTGCAGCGGCTACTTTATTGTGCACCCCACACTCATCCTGTGAGCGGTAGCGCAAAAGGATTACAGAGTAGGGTTTACAAAGGGTCATAATAATTAACCCCGGTTGTCAGGATATTATGGCACTGAAAGTTACACAGTATTTCATTTACATTATTTGTTTAGTTCTATACATAAAGGGTAACTTATTCACAAATGCGTGAGAACAGGCGTGTGAGGCAGTATGTCTGGCCTCACACTTTGTTATTCACATTTACGTGGGAGGTATTCAAGCACATTGCGTATTTGGTTCTGTACATGAGAACTGATATAGTTACTAAGTGCAAAAAAGTGGATACAATCTTAATATGTCGGCTATCTTGCCATTAGAGATGAAGTGTTGTGCCATTTCACACACAGTGTGCTTGGACCTGTCCCTAAAAGGTTCTATCTTCACACAGTCGAGGACGTAGTGTTCAAGTGTGTGGCCATATGTCTGGCCACACACTTTACATTTAGTTTTGTTTACATCTGCTTGAGGAACATACTGCCAAAGGTACTTATATCCTAACCTTAATCTAGCGGGTACAACATCTTATAATCTAGTGATCTTGTTACTTGCTCCATATACATGTTTCACTTGATACATCTCATCATGGTAAACTATGGATCGACTAGTGCCTGTTTGCACTTGTCTACTTGCGTCAAACTCATCAATAAGTTCTTTCCTAATTACAGTTTTAAGGGTTCTTTTTGACAGACCCAAATTGTATTCAACGGTGTCTTTGTTAGACGCGAGTTTGGCGAGGGCATCAACTCTGTCATGTTTTATGAGGCCTATGTGAGAGGGGATCCACAACAGTTTGACCCTGACACCCCGGTCAACAAGGCACGCATATTTGTGTCTGGCTTCAGAGACAAGATCGTGACAACCTGAGTCGAGGGTACCAAGGGCAAGTAGTGAGGATAGAGAGTCAGTGATGATGAGACTGTCAGTAACAGTGGTTTCAATGAATTTAATAGCTGTGAGTATGGCAACTAATTCAGTTTGTAGAGTGGATGCCCAGTTGCTAATTCTAACTCCTTTCTCAATTATATTACCGTCAGGTTGAGTCACAACAATAGCACTTCCAGCCCTCCCACAGGCGGTGTTTAGAGATCCATCAGTGTAGATGGTCTGTGTGATATTATCATCAGTCTGTAGAGTGTGTATGTGTTCAAGAGCTCTCAATTTGGCAGTGTGTTGGAGATAAATGCTTTGTATAATTAATTTTTTAGGCGGATACGTCGGTATTGTGATATCGAAGGGAACTGTCCGCCAGGGTGGCAGGAAGCACTGTTGTGTCTCAACTTTGTACAGGTGGTCTAGTCCAAATATCTTCATATGTGTAGCTGTAGTTTGGATCCATTTAGACTCAGTAGTCCCATGGTTCATACATTCTAGCAATTTTAAGGAAACAATGTTATCAGGATCACCACGCAGAAGCCTCAGGGCTATCATGAGGTTGACTTCAATTATTCTATCTTTAACACTGGGTATACCTAGTTCTTTCCTCATATTAAGTACTTTAGTGCTCATGGGACATCCTAGGATAATTCTGAGGGCTTTATTTTGCATTTTCTCGAGCTTGTCAACGCCTTTCCCGTCACGAATGACCAGGGCTGGTGCGTGGTAATCTATCAGAGATCTTATATAGCCTAGGTACATTGTTTTAACAATTCTAATATTAGCACCATAGTGCGGGCTGTACCCCGCTACACTTCTAAGAGGTCTCAGTCTGTCAGTACATTGGCGGGTTAGCTGTTGTATGGCAGGTAGGGTACAAGGGACGGAAACACCAAGATATTTAAAAGAAGAAACATAGTCAATAGTGTTGTTACCTATCTTGAACTTGGCGGGGCCGCGTTTGCGGTTACCAGCTTGTTTGTTGAACACCTTAGTTTTGTCAGTGGAGATAATAAGACCGAGGTGTTCACAGGCTGCGTATACATGGTTCAGGGTGGTTTGCATTTCACGATGAGTTTTAGTATGTATAAGAATATCATCAGCATAGCTGATTGAGATATTGCTGGGGTTGTCTGGTATTAAATTTAATAATGCATTCATAAGAACATTGAACAAAGTGGGGCTAAGTACTCCACCTTGAGGGGTACCAAGTTGCATATCTTTAACTTCACTTTTGTAACCCTGAAACAGTGCAGCAGCCCTTCTGTTGGTTAGGTAACCACTTATCCAGTGTAACAGCCTACCTCCTATATCCATTTTGGCTAGTTCGTACAATATCAGTTGCCTATTGGCAATATCAAATGCAGCTTTTAGGTCAAGAAATGTGGTGTATCTGTGCCTTTCATCACCATGCACAGTTAGGAATGTGGTGATGCAATTATGTACACCTTTACCATGGGTGAAGCCATTTATGTTAGGAGACATGTGTTCTCTGATTCTATATAAGAGTCTGCCAAGAACCATCCTCTCAAAGGTTTTACACAGGCAGCTGGTTAGTGATATGGGACGAAAGGCATCAGGCTGTCCTGGTTTCGGTATTGGTACAACAATACTGCTGGTCCATGATGTGGGTAGTTGGCCCTCGGCATGACTCATATTGTACAATACCAACAATGGATTGCCTGGCACGCGCCTTAGTAGTCTAATGATGTTGTAGGTGACTCCGTCCTCTCCAGGGGAAGTAGACCTACCCCTGGCGAGGGCGGCGTCAAGCTCCCACTCAGTATATGGAACATCACACTCATCGTGCTGTTTGCCCAGCATAAAGCTAATAAGATTACTTCTCTCTACAGACTTCGCATCAAGGAGTCCCCGAGTCCTAGCTGGTAACATGTCATAGCTCGACACATGAGCCCACTTTGTTATTAGCTCATTCGACTTTTGCAGAGGGTTTGGATGGGAGACGTGTCTTCTGTTTTTACCTCTGATTATGTTTATGTCTTTCCAGGCTTTGCTGAGGGATGTGTGTTGGTTCAGGCTGTTGACATATGTCTCCCATGCATTTTGTCTGAGTTCGTTTACACGTTCCCTGACAGCAGCAAGGGA